AGTTGTATAGTTATAGCATATCTGGCCTTCTTCACCTGGGGTGATTCACTCTGCCACAATGCACACTAGTACCTCTGTCTACATCTCTTTTTATCTATCATCTATCTATCTATCTATCTATCTATCTATCTATCTATCATCTATCTATCTATCAATCATCTATCTATCTTTCAGCTACCTATGTATCTATCCACTATTTGTCTGTCTGTCTTGAAGAATAGTCCATCATTTGGGTTTTGTTTCCTAATGGCTGAACTATGGTTGGATATTTTAACAAGACAGTTATGAAGGTGAAGGTAGGTAACTTCTACATCACTTAACTTGGCACATGCCATTTTGTCCTTTTATTAGCTTGCCATATTTCATCACTTGAACTCAAAGGACTTTCCTCAGACTTCTCCATTGTGAAGGTACCTTTTTTTGTTTTGTACTTAAGTCACCTGTGAATGATCTTTGGATAGTCCTTTCTATACTTTTAAACATACCATTTATTCTTTGACTAAAAATTGTTATGAGTGATGAGTATCTATAAAGATAAATGATAACAATACAATTATGAATAACTCTACTTATTCACACCTTGCTCTCCCCACTCTATGCAGTAGCCTTCATTCTAGAGGGAGATCTTTGACATGGAAGCACTCAATCACCTTCAGAAAAATCAGCCATTGTTTCAGTCAAAATTCTGAATAGCAAAGATATGAAGAAAAAGATTAGATGGTGAGGCTTAGCTGTGGCTAGAGATGGTATTGCAAGAGAAAGTTCTTTTGAGGTGGTAACAGGCTTAAGGTAAAATTTTGACAGACAGGATTTATCTATCTCTGTGGGCTATACTCCTCCTGATGAAAACAGTGCTATGTAATCCTCCTTCTCCTATCTTCAGGCAGGCATATAGAGTCTCTCTCTTATATTCACACAGTGCCACTGTGCTGACATCTGCACTAAAATCTTCAGCTGGGGCCTCTCCCGTCTGAACCAGGAAGCTAAGCCAGGAAAGCATAGTTTCTCTTCATCGAAGTTGATAGGAAATGTGTGAAGAGTGGAATGGTACACAGTTCTGTTAACAAGCATTTTCTCTCATGACATACATTGCTAGCCAGAGTTAGAGGAGGCATTCAAGCCAAGAGCTCTGATTCAGAGGGCATGCTCCTCACCACTGTTCATGATCAGTCCCCAACGTGCTGACCTCCACATGACTCATTAGAGAAGATGAAGTCCATAGGCATCATCCAGGGCATAGAAACCTTTTAGAGACTTGTCACAGTCCAATTTTCTAATATTTATTACTTCCTAGGTGGGTGCCTTGTTTCCGCTGTTTTCTTCCCTATTGTGCTGAAAGTTCCCTCATCATATGTGGACCCCACTTCCTATTTCTGAATTTGAGTTAAACTCATTTGCTCTTCTATCATTGCTTCTGGAGAGTCCCTCTTATTTCCCTGAAATTTCTGAGAATGTTGGCTGAACTTGGATTCAATCACATGTTACTTTTTGTTTGTCTTGTAATAAACAAAGTAATTGTGCATAGCTCCCTGCTAGGGAATAAGCACTTTCAAAGGTAAACCCCATTTTGTGCCCAAAGCCACCAGATTGGCTGGCACAGAAATACTTTCACGTTTTCTACATGGAATACATTTTCTTTCAACCATCCTGGCTCCGCTTATATTTTGTTTATCTACTTAGAAGGGAATACTCATCCTTTATTGCTTAACTCTCCAAAAGCAATCTCCTCCAATAGAGCCTTTCCTGAGTTTGCAGTTCAGCTTTCTCCAGCTCCTGCGGTGCAGTGCTCAAAGATATGAGGCTGGTGCATGGCTTCTAATTTAGTTCTACAATGTATGTTGATATTAGGCTAAAGACTTAACATTTATGGGTTTTAAGTTTCTAATGTGCAAATGACACTAGCATCTATTTCATGGATCACACTTTTCTATGAGGAAATGAAATGAGTTCATTTCTGAAGTACATAAAATAGAACTTCCATATCATAAACACTCAATAAAATCAACCATTTCCTCAATCCTCTCTCAAGGTTAGTGACTTCCATTTGGCAATGATTATTTACCAGTTAGTGACCCACTTTCTATTGTTAGGAACATAAATTTAAATCAAGTGTTATTGATGGGTTTTTAAGGGGGACATCTTATTTTCTTAAATAAACTGCAAGCCTCCGGAGCTTTGGAGAACTCTGAGTATTGAACATATTCTTAGCCGAGTGTTTTCTATAAATATTTCATGTGTTACTCACAATTACAGTATAAGATAGCTACTGGTGCCATATTACAGATAAAATACAACAGCGAAAGCTTAGGGAGTAAATAATTTGCTCAAGATTTTCTAAATGATTATGTCATAGAGATAGTTCTAGGATACTTCAAAGATAACAATTTTTCCAAAAAATATTTTATTATTTTTATTTTATGTGTATGAGTGCATTGCCTGCATGTATGTGAGTATACTGTGTCAACCAGTGCCGTGGAGGTCACAAGAGGACATCAGAGTCCCCTGGAAGTGGAGTTAAGGACAATTCATAGCTTCCATGTGGGTGCTGGGAAACAAACCTGGGTCCTCTGCAAGAGCAGTCAGTGCTCTTAACCACTGAGCCATCTCTCCAGCCCCCCAAAATAACAACTTTCATGTTTCAAAAGTATTTAATAGTTATCCATTAATATGATTATTACTGTTGTTCAGTTTTATTACTACATAATTGGCACTGTGATATTTGAAGCACATATATTCAGAGTTTAGCTTTTCATATTAATATATCCTAATTATAATTAATTTTTCAATGTTGGCATGTTTCTTTTTGTCTTGAACTCTTAGCAAACTATCCTCCTCCCACTATAATAGAGAGGGCACAGCATTCTTATACTGTACCTGGTTATAAGCAGAACCCTTTGCTTTTGTTTTAGTCTGTTGTTTTCTGGATATTTCTCACAATCTTGTGTTTAGTTTCATTGTTTTGTTTCTTAAATCAATGCTATTTCCACAGTGAATTTGCTAATATGGGAAGAATTGCTAGAGAACATCTTTGATGCATTCACCTAGGTGAGAAACTGGGCTCAGGCAGTAGAGAGATCTGCCAGCAATACTTAGCCATCAAGGGCTCAGAGAGGGTCAGAATAAGAGTTCTTTAAAACTTTTAAAATGAATTTATTTTGTTTGTGGGTGCACGGGGGTTTTGTTGGAGGACATGTGAGCCTTAGTGTGTGTAGGAAAGTCAGAAGATAACTTGTGGGACAACTTTCGGGAGCTGGTTCTCTCCTTCAACTGTGAGGACTTGGATTAAACTCAGGGCCTCAGGGTCCGGGGCAAGTGCCTTTACCCACTGAGTTATAGTGCTGGCCTCAGAATCAGAGTTCTTTATTCCAACTTGTGTATTCTTTCAGCTAAATTACACCAATACCTGTGTACAAATGAAGTGAATTTTTTCATATCCCAATGACTTCCCTGCACCCACGCTGGCATTTAGGCCAGTGACTTTAGGTTTCCTTTCACTTTGTGGTCCCACATAGGAAAGAAAAAGGAAGACATAAACACAGGAGGTGTCTGAGGGGGCAGAAGCCCTGTTTCCTATTCCACCCTGGAGCCTCTATTCATTACCGCTTCTTCCCATGTGGCTTTTCTCGAGGCATCCTTCAAGAAGCTTCTCAGAAAACAGTGTCACGTATGCATGTACTCGAGAAATATTTATTGCTTTGTGATGAGACACACAACAGAGAATGAATGTTAAACTATTACACAAATGTAAATGGGGAATTTATTATCTCTTAAATCTAATGATAAAACTTGGTCTCTCACTTTCTGTTTTTTAATATTTTGTAATTTAAAATTTATTTCCCCAGAAATTAATTTTTTAATATAATTCTAATTGAATTTTTGTATATTCATATGCAACATCTTAATCCTCTTTATACCCTTCCTATCAGCATGCTCCTAGAGCCCCCCTCAACTGGATTTCATGCATTTTGTCATTTATGTTAAGGCCTAGTGTCCCCTGATGTCCCTCAGTGCAAGTTCATCCACTGGGGTCTAGTCAGCCTATCTAGAGTCACTATCTAGAGTACAGTTCTTCCTCCCCAGAAATGTATTTTAAATTATCTGATGCAAAAATACTGGTATCTACCAGATTTGGTAGAAAACAATTTCTGCAATTAAAGTTGGGGAACACTGGTTTAAAGGGTTCAGGTCCAGGTTTATAAAGCACTCCTATTCTTCGTGGTGTTTCACAACTTGTTGTAAATTTTAAATTTATTTTCCCAGAAAATAATCTTTAATATAATTTTTATTGAATTTTTGTGTATTTCATATACAACATCTTACTCCTTTTTGTACCCTTCCCATCAGCATGCTCCCATAGCCTCCCAACTGGATTTCATGCATTCTGCCTTTTATGTTAAGGCCTATGAGTCTAGTTGGGCCTTCATAGATCTCTTACCTCTTTAGCTCAACCTAGACTAATAATCATCTGTGTATTTGCCTTCTCTGTTTTGAACCATCACAACTTCAAAGACATATTGTATCTGCAACACCTCACAAATGACAGGTAACTCACACACTTATACTAATGCACTGGGGAGAAGACCTTTCATAGTTATTCACAGTTTTAAATATGGAAGTTGTGGAAAATACAATGAGATCTTTTTTCCCTTCTTTCATTCAAGGTAACATTTAAGAATATGTAGCTAAACCATATCAGATTACAAGTTTTATACAATAAATATTAGACTTGAATTGACAGAAGCTATTTTTCTCAAGGAAACCTAATAAAATGTCCAAGACTAAGTCTTGACTTTGGGTCTTAAACAACTCGAAGAACTACTGAAATTTCGGTACGAGCTTACCAGATACCTTAACAGTCTCCCAGACTGTGTACATACATGCCACCTTTTATGTATCAGGATGCAAACACATTACTAGTGGAGCTGACTGTAGTCTTCATTTTTCAGTAGGGATAATGGAACAAAGTATTTACTTCAGAAGTTAGCTTTAGGCCCACTCACCAAAGTACTCATCAGCAGGTGGATTTTCCATGTCATACAGCATCTTCTTGGTCAGATGCTCCAGCTCATCTTCTGGGCGGAATGATGGGGAAACAGATGGAGGTCCCATAGTCCCAGTGTGCCCCCCCTGAAAGGAAGAAATTACATAGCCCTTTAATGGCAGTCTAGACATCAACTAAAGGGGGATTGGGCACTGGGAAGGAAAAAGCACTGGACCGACTGTCCACTTGGAGACTTGCACTGTAGATTCGGATTTATTATTTATTCAGTGTCTGACCTTAAGCCATTTCATTTTATTCACTTGTCTTTTTAGATGAGACATTTGCCACACCTTAGAATCCATGTTTCCAATAGTAGGAATCTATTTTGTATAATAAGCAGTCACTATGTATTATTTGTATAATTATTAGCAAGATGACTAATAAAGACTTTACAGCTTAGAGAAAGGTCTACACAGACATTAATAAGGATAAAGTGTCTGTACAGTGTGCACTGTCAGGGTTAAGGACTTCTGACACCCAAAAAGGAAGCTTCTTTGGAGAAAGTCTGCAGAGAGGACAGAAAGCATATAGGCAAAACTTCTGCACTCAGGTGAAAAAAACTCAGATATAAAGAGCTCCCAGCCACTGTGTTTTCCTATCCACATATAACGTTTGAGATGGAAATGAAGTGAATACTGGGCTCCTGGATCTAAAAAGTAAAGGAATTTTGTTCCTGCCAAGGAAGTGAAGCAACGTTTCTTCCCAGTACTGCAAGCAAGCAGACATCAAATGGGGATAAGAAGTCAGCAGTGTCCAAATGGGCGGGTGAGCAGGAAGAATAGCAGTGTGAGGACTGAGGGTCAAAAAACAGAGGGCCTGAGACAGTCATCTAAAATCCCAATGTCTATAGAGAAGGCCAGATGACAGATGTAAAGTAGCTTTGCGCTACACACATGAAAAGGAGCTCACAAATTTCCCTTTCCCGACACTGTAAACTAGCCATTTTCTTTTTCTTAAATTTATTTTTTATGATGTGATTTATTTATTAAAAACTGTACAAAAGTAGAATTCTTTTTTTATTCCAGTCATCTAAAATCCCAATGTCTATAGAGAAGGCCAGATGACAGATGTAAAGTAGCTTTGCGCTACACACATGAAAAGGAGCTCACAAATTTCCCTTTCCCGACACTGTAAACTAGCCATTTTCTTTTTCTTAAATTTATTTTTTATGATGTGATTTATTTATTAAAAACTGTACAAAAGTAGAATTCTTTTTTTATTCCAAAGAAAGGCAATTTTTGAACACCTTTTTCCAGAAATAAGGCTGCGTATGGTGGCACATGCCTTTAGTCCCAGCCCTTGGGAGGCAGAGGAAGGTGGATCTCTGTGAGTTCAAGGCCAGCATGGTCTACATAGTGAGTTCCAGGCCAGCTGGGGCTATAAGGAGACCCTATCTCAAAAACAAACAAAGATGCCATTAATCCTAACAAGTTTATTGCTAACAGAGCATAGGATGGGGGCTTATTTACAGAAGACTGGGGTAACTGGCCATTTTCAATACCACCCCATACCTGTAATTAATGCATTAGAATGGTAGGAATGCTGCTATCAAAGTTTACAAACGAGCATGGCATTGGGCCACTGCCAATGGGCAGAGAAACAGATTTGAGAGTGTGTTTTCCTGACGTTTATGTGCTCTTGAAACAATTGAGTGAGAAGTTCTGTCTTCAGAATAGATTCTAAGAGTAAATTCCATAAGAAATAACTGTTAATTGGCAAGAGGTTTCTTTTTGGGGGATGAAATTTCTAACGTTAGATACAGTGGTGGGTGTACAACTTTATGGATTTACTTAAAACTGGGCATTATTCACTGTAAATAAGTGAATTTAGGGGCATACACGTTATTTCTCAATAAACTTTTATTAAAAAGGAGTAAGTTCTACAGAACTGAAAGCTATACTTGCTTCCCCACTATAGTCACTAGATTTAGAGTTATCAGACACAGAAATCCTGTATTTAGCCCTTTACAAATGTTATGCTTAATGCCAATCATGTTTTAAAGATTCATTTTATTTACATTCATGTATGTGTACAGTATGCCACATGTGTTTGGGTGCATGTGGAGGCTTGAGAAGGTGCTGGATGCCCTGGAGCTGGGATCTGCCTGATGTGACTGCTGGAGACTAAACTTGGGTCCTCTGGAAGAGTAGGCAAGCACTCTTAGTTGCTGGGTCATCTCTCCAGTTCCCTAATGCCAACTTTTGTTTTAGGCTTTTTACTTTAATATTTTTCCAGTTTTTGAAATATATATATGAAATTGTGGTAAGACATACAGCAAGTAAGAGGCCAAAACCCTTTTGTTGGACATTAATCTTACTCTGGAGTTTTTTTCCTTATCAGAATACTTGCATTTGAAATTGGGCAGAGGGAATGAACTGCGGCCTGGGTCAGCTGCATGATCTCCACATGGTGAGACGGGGAAACAGAGACCTCAGAAATCAGGACAGGGCTACTTATGGTGAAGTCAGGGCAAGAGCCCATGCTAGACTCACTCATTTGCTAGTGAACATTAAACATGGAAAGGAAAGCTCAACTCTGGACATTACTCTGCCCTACAGGGGTATTGTATATGTTAAAGGAGATACTGCATCTTTAGTTTATTAGTTTACCCATTCATTCTTACAGGATTTGCGTGTGTGTGTGTGTGTGTGTGTGTGTGTGTGTGTGTGTGTCCTCTGTAAGCACCTAGAAAGGATGAGTAATATACTAGGCACAATGTTTGCATTTCCAAAGTCAGAACTCCAATGGGAATGAAAACTGCATAGATGACTAACTATAAGAAGCACAGTAAATAGATGGACAGGCATATAGAAACAAACAGGATAAGTGTGTTTCCATTATTAATAAACTTTAAGTTGTATACATTCTATTCACTTGTAGGGAAAAAAATCAATTCAGAAATACTTGGGTAAGTATAAAACATCATGTGATCAAGAGTGATGGTGGGCCACATTTGAGAGAATGATGGTCAAAAAGTAATAGCACAGCAACCATTAAATGGGTCATATGAACAGCATTTTAGATGCATACATTGAACATCCCTACACATAAGCATGCAAATATTACAAATGCATGCCAATAAATTAACAAATTCAATTGCAAAGTAGAATATTTAAATAACTCTATCTTTAGAGAGTGTTTATTTATTTACAAATATAGACAGACTGGGAAAATAGTCAGAAAGGATACATGTACTAAAATGTTAAAGGTGATTTTTCCCCCCTTTGGGGAGTGGAAGTCTAAGGGACTTCTATTTTCTAAACTTGTTTCCTTATTTTATAGTATGTAAAATGCTACTTTTGCAATCCATGAAATGGGACCTTTTTTTTCTTTAATCATGATGACATCAAATGATAAAGATATGCTGGTTACTACTAAAAGTCTGGGACAAGTTTCCAAATAATCTATGCCAAGAAGAGGATTCTAAGAGTATCAGAACTCTGGAATTGAGAAGTCATTTGGTACAAGTGGGAAGAACTACAGTGGCTCAATGTTTTAAGTCTGGAGTGAGGGAGAGAGAAGGTGCTTCAGCTGATTGCTTCTTGTGAGACTGAAGGGTCTAGGGCTTCTCTATGAGCCAGGAGCCCATGTTTGAGACCAGGGATAACTCTCAGAATCTGATGAGCTAAAGTTCTCCTTAGCAGAATACAGCATCCACTAAAATGCACAAAATTTTCATTAAAATGTCAAGAAGTACATAGACCACAGGGAATTACCTGTACGTTCTTAGGAGCATCCAGTCAATAGAAATTAACATTTTTTTCCATTTTATGAAGAGAATGAGCTAATCTGTTTTGGAAAGTTCTTTTTTGGACTGCAGAGTGAATTGGAGAGCTAAGAGATTAGAAGTCCATGGGGCCTGAGGCATGAAGGCAGTATGTGGCAGCATCATTACAGCTGGAGACAGAACCAACTTGACACTGATTTAGAGTGCTCATGTAAGCCTGTGAACCATGCACCTCAGTGGTTGTGAGAACTAAAGTGAGATAACCCATATCTGGGCTATGTAGATGTAGAAAGGAACTGCTCCTGAGTACTGCAATAGTATGGCTCCCTACTCTCCCAACCTGCCTATCAGGAAGCCCTTACTTCATTCCAGGTAACAAAACAGAGATGGGAAAGGTAGCCACAGTCTTCTTTCAGGTTTGAAATGAAAGAGAGACCTGGACCCACATTATGGTGCCATCTGACTCTAAGTTCCACACATGCAACTTTTTTCTTGATCAAATATTGAATATTGCTTCCAATAAAGCAATGCTAGAAAAGAATGAACTATCACTGCTAATAACAATGGTGCTGGCTGTTTTAATTATTAACTCAGTAACTATTTAAAAAAGCACATGATAATTCCTGGACACTATTATTGTCTAAGACCAGTATCTATGATTTTCTTTCAATATACAATGCACTAAGAAAGCCAAATCTATCCTCCACAAAGCTAAGCCAGAAATTCAGATTCTATCAGCACTTATACTTCAAAAAGACTAATTCAAAGTACTTACTTTGTCAGTATTTCACAGATGTTTTAAAAATGTTACCACTCCTTTCATTCTTCAAATATTCCTTCCTATTTGCTGCCAAGTCTGGAAAAGGCTATTTTCTGTTTAAATTGTATTCTTTTGTATAGTGATGTTATTCAGCTTATCATAGGGATTATCCTGATGAACACATTGTAAGTTGAAAATATTATAAGCCAAATGTGCCTTTAATGCATCTCACATAGTGGTCATCACAGAGTAGTAAAGCAGTACACTGATGAGTGTCGACTGTTTACCCTTGTGATCTATAGCCCAGTGGGAGCTGCAGCAAACTGTCATGGCCTAGCATCCTGAAAGAACATATTCCATATCAGTATGGTTTCTATAGATTGGGTATCACTTTCCAAAACATAAAATCACAAGTGGAGCCACAGTAGGTCAGGAACACCTGTAATGTTAACAGAGGGTTCCTGTTATGTCTTCTGGGGAAAGGACCTAGAAGATCATTTCACAGTATTTCTGAACATTGTCTACAGGACTCCTCTGTGCCCCATTCTGTGTATAATACTGAAGATCCATGAAAAGAATACTGGAAAAACATAAAATTC